ATACAAAATGCATTCGCCTTAACTGTCCATAAAACACAGGGGCTCACACTTCCTGATGTATCATTAAACTTAGATGAACAAATATTCACACCTGGACAAGCTTATGTGGCACTAAGTCATTGCACTAAATGGGACCAAGTAAAAATACAATCATTAAATCATACAGCATTTATAACAGACCAATCCATGATAAAAGAATATGAGCGTTTAGAAATAAAAGCCCATGAACCATTACCATTAAACAACCCAAACTCATAAGTTTTTTTTAAAAAAAAAATAGAAAATTAAACTTGACTTCTCAATTACATATATATAATCAAACCTAAATTCTTCACATTAATTTTATATAATAAAATAAAAAAAACAATTAATAAAAAAAAATTAAATAAAATTTCAAAACTATATATCTCCAACAATTTTGTTATCGAAACTCAATGAACTTTGTACAACAAATACTTTTTTTTATAATTTATTCTATTGTAAACCAATAAAGCCACTAAATCGAGTGGCGAAGCTGCCCACATGTGCACTTTTAGTTCTAATATAATAATATTGACAATAAATTAATTGCTGTTAGTGGCTGTTCAGTTTTCGATTATCGTGCTTTTCAAATTATTGTGATCAGCAAATTTCACGTATTACACTGATTCTAGAAAAAATGCCAGTATGTGATTGGCTAAAAAATTAATCAAATAAATTTTAACCAATTATATACTGGCATTTTCCAGATTTCTGATTCACAGTGTGATACATGAAATTTGCTGATTATGATAATAAAAAATCTAATTCTGGTGGCCAACCTTGAGGAAAAATATGGTATGCTTATATTGTTGAAAAAAAAAGGAAATTACTATTCTTTTCGATGCTACTATTGTTCTAAGCATTGGAAAAAGGAATACCAATCGTAATTGAATCACATTTAGCTAATGAATGTTTCAGTTGTCGACAAGATTTACAAAAATATTGGCAGGATAAAATTAAAAATCGACAAATAATTATCAAAGAACTTCAAATACAAAAACTCGCAAATCAATAGATTCTGTTAATACAAATAATTCAAATTTATTTTCTATAAGTCATCAAAATTAGGCTGACGATAATTAGCTTTAAACAATACAGTTTAATACTGTAATACAGTTTAATAATACAGTTTAATAACACAATTTAATAATACAGTTTAATAATACAGTTTAATACACTAATTTAATTAAATATAAAACAATACAGTATATATTTATAATACAATTTATTATTGTTTTATCGCAAGTATACGTATAAAGCTTTATCAGTAGTTTTATCAGTTTATATTTTGACTAGATCTTAGGCCTGGGCGATGCCCCGGGTCTCGGCCTTAATTTTTATTGTTTTAAAGCTTTTTGAGGTGCTTTTAATTAATACAATGGTTATTTAGGAGCCTTCGCGTTTGTTAATAGTACATCTTTCTTTTTGCTATCACTTGCCTTGTAATAAGGCTGCCTCTATCTCACTCCTATGCCTTTCCTATTATATTTATAATTGATTCATAGCTAGAAAGCCTTGCTTTGGTAAGTAAGAAGAGGCTTTACATCTGTTTTAACAGTGCAAGAACTTCTCATTTAGGCTTCACATCTATATTTTTTGTATAATAAATATTTAATTAAATGTCGCAGCTGATGCTGAAAATGGCTGAAGCTGAAATTTGGGGTCTCGATTTAAAAATATAAGCTCTGCTAAAATCCACATATACTTGTTAATTATCAAGTCAACCCTAAACACTAACTCAACTATAAAAAAAAAGCGGGTAAAAAACACTCCAAAAATTTTTAAAAAATTCATATCAAAATAGATTCGAATTTCAGCATCAGCCGTTTTCAGCATCAGCTGCGACATTAAATATTCTCTATTTTAACATATGTAATATAATGTAATTAATTTTAACATTAATATTAACGTTAATATTAAAATTAATATTAATGTTAATGTTAAACTTAACATTAACATTAACATTAATGTTAATTTAACATTAACATTAACATTAATGTTAATTTTAACATTAGCATTAATGTTAATGTTAATTTTAACGTTAACATTAATATTAATATTAATTTTAACATTAACATTAACGTTAATGTTAATTTTAATATTAACATTAACGTTAATGTTAATTTTAACGTTAACATTAACATTAATGTTAATTTTAACATTAATATTGACGTTAATGTTAATTTTAACGTTAACATTGATGTTAATGTTAATTTTAACATTAACATTGACATTAATGTTAATTTTAATATTAATATTAATGTTAATGTTAATTTTAACATTTACATTAACGTTAATGTTTTTTTTTTTTGGTTTTAAGGTGACCTTTTTGCCATGCTGCTCTTTATTTGAATATTAGTAGTATTTTTAACCATCAGACATATTCTGACAGCTGTACATATTTGTTGGGTACAACTAGCCATACCTGCGCCTTTTGATATCTATTTAAGTAGTCTGCCTATCATCAGGTTCTACACTAGATGCCATACCTGCACCCCACTAGGGGGGTTACCCATTTAAACCCTCTGTGCCTATGTACTAACCCTTTTATATCCAAGCGATGATACTTAGTACCACCTTATTTTCACATACTGGCTTAGAGCTTTAAAGCAGTCTCTACTATTTTAGAGAGTTCTTTGACCTCAAGATAAACCTGCTAAAGCTTCTATACCCACATTTAGGCTGACCTAGGCTTCGGTAACTTACGCCTAGTCCGAAAACAAGTACTTGTGAGCTGAAGCCGCTATCATTATCTACTTCTGCCTTTATAGAGTTCACTCTACCCCAGCCCCTTATTTGTCCAATTGGAAACCCTTCCACTGTTTCACCAAACTTCCAATGAGATAGGCAGTTTGGTCCACAAGTTATGTTACCTGCTTTCCTATTGGCTTAACCCAGATACTGGCCTGTACCCTTTTCCTCTGATCAATTCCGGCAGCCTGGTTGGTATAGTACTCGCCAAACACCGGGTCCTCGTCCAGATCCACAGCTTATTGGTTCTCTTCTCGAACTTTTCAGAACCGTCAAAAGTAGTGCTACCTCTCTACTCAGGACTTGCCAAGGGATTCTTATTTGGGACAAAGTCCAATAGATTTACACAGGTCCCGGGGCTTATCATGGGTTTACACCGCCTTTTATCGGTTTGTATCTCTTTGTGTAACTTCTTTATTACACGAATGCCTCAAGATCTTCTAAGTCTGTACTACCACCCTGATTAGGGCTTGCGAGATAAGCCATCCATTAGGCAATCATTACCCCTTGCACCTATTTGGTCTGACCGTCATTACAGGATCTCTATCTAACACCCGAAATAGTCATCAATGCACAGAAGAATTTGATTTTTCGTCGTTGGTGGGAATTGAACTCTGAATGTGCCACTTGGAGGGCGACAACTTGACCACTTCACTAAGTCACCACACCCTATTAACGTTAATGTTAATTTTAACGTTAACATTAATTTTAATATGAATTTTAACATTAACATTAACGTAGGGTTGGGTAAATTTTGTAAGTTACATTTTAATTTACATGTAACTTACATAATTTTTCAAACTTACACTAAGATACACATAGCAATTTAAATATAACTTATATGTAACTTACATCAAAAAGTTAAAACTTACACAAAATGCCCAACTCTATATTAACGTTAATGTTAATTTTAACATTAACATTAATGTTAATGTTAATTTTAACATTAATATTAACATTAACATTAATATTTATATTAATTTTAATGTTAACATTAATGTTAATGTAAACATTAACATTAACATAAACGTTAATGTTAACTTTATTGTCGTAAAGAGTGGGTGAATAGGCAAACTGACAGATTAAATCGATACCTCATTTACTTGAGATCTTTGTTAAAAATTAACAATTTTTTTTGATCGCTAGCGAGATTCGCACTTTAGTAAAGGAAAGATAGTTTTTACGGTATATCGAAAGCATTAAAATTATAAAACAGTATAAACCTATTATGTAGTGTCGTAGCAGTAGTTAATAGTAGTTATTGCTACTACAGTAGATACTGTCTAATTGCATACTGTCTAATTGCATATACTCTCTAGGTGCATAAAAAATATTTGCTTTTAATTATTAACACTGAAATGGTTCTTATGATTTAAATGTATATACTATCTATATACATAATAAAGTCTCTGATGGATGGCATGCAATTAGACAGTATCGACTGTAATATCTAACTCAAAGGGTGGAGCAATTAAACAAATGCATATATCGACCTCTCAGGGTTGTGAAGGGTAAGTAACTTAATACTATGTTCAAAAGTGTATATTAATTTACAAGAGGGCACTTTCTAATTATTTATTATTTTTTTCTTTTTGTTCTTCTTATACTCACTTTGACTATTGCTAATTACATCATTTTTGATCACACATATTTGAATTTTAATTAACTAATTACTAATCACGCCATTTTGACTTTTAATTAACTTACTACTAACTAATTACACCATTTTCTATAAATCTTATTATGACAATTAGCTGCCTGATACAAAAGTATCAGAGCAGCTTTTTGTTTCAAATCGATCACAGGTGTATCGTAATTGATCATTGCAACATTATCATAGTTTATCATATGACTCTAGTCATTTGTTGCATTACAGTGATTTATGGTATGATTTCGGTTAAGGCATTATTTTGATTTATTATATGATTCGTAAAATTTTATAACATATTAACGTAGTAATTGGAATTAGTAAGCATAATAGTATTTAGTAGGAATGGGGTTTTTTCTAGGAAAAGTAACCTCTGTTTTTTTCTGCTAACCCAACTTTGTCTGGTTTTTTCATGCTATATCTGTTATACTTGCTTTATCTGTTTTACCTGTTTTATATTGAGAATACACATTGTTTTCTTATTCAAAGTTAAGCAAATTAGTTTTAGTGTTTATCTAAAAAATAAAAATGTGGTTTTTTTATATGACAAAGCAAACTTTTAAATTTTATTATTATCCCTATGTTAATGTTAAATAAGGAATTAGAGCCTGTTGGATCGAACAACATTTCAGTGCAACTCAACATGACTCAAGTAAGCCTTGATCAAATTTAGTATGTTTATCACTGGAGGTGTTGAGTTGTTTTAGAGGAATGGGTGTATCAGATTTGGGACCAAAGAAGGAAGTTGTGGCTAGGTTGGCAAGGAAAAGTAGAGCTTGGTTGGGTTCAGAAGTATTGGTTGGTGATTTTGAGCCATCTGAAAAGGAAAAGAGTATTCATCTGCAGCTTCTTCCAAATCAGGTTGAAGGTTTTCCAGAGGAGTTTGATGTTTTTCAGAGGGCTGGTGATGGGCTGCAACAGTTAAGGATAACACACGAAATTTCTCACAACACTTTTGAAAGGCAGTCTATATCGGGCCTGGATATAGCTCAAACTAGATTTAAAAGGGCTCCAAGTTGGAAAGTTGATATGAATGCCCTGGTGTTAGACAATATGGAATAGAGAAACCTTTGAGAGAAGCCAGAGTTGACAAAGCAGCACAACCAATGGAGTATAACAAATTGTGCAAAATAGAGACATTGTTAGACAAGGTCTTGGTCTCTGGGGACATAAGCTTTGTTCATTTGATAAGACAAATCATTTTAAAAAAAGCTTATATTGTAAGAGTGGCTGATATAGATAGTTGGGTTGTTGTGTTTAAAAATAGTTTTAGCAGATGCTTCGGATCCAATTTTGGAACTGTTGGGTGAAACATGAGAGGGCTAGATTAGTGTAATAGCATTTTACAAAGCCAAATAAACAGAGATCATCGTATCAGCCTTGGTTAGAGCAGTCTTAGGTACAGGCTACGTTTTCAATATAAGCAGTGTTCTTATGACACAATTTGCATTAGTGCAACCTTACATGCAGCAAGCAGGGTTCAGTCAACATGTTTTGAACTAACTAATAGTTTCTCAAAGTCAGTTTGAAGGCCTTATAACTTTCCTTCTCAGTCAGGCCAGGCAGGCTCTCAGTTTTTGCAAGGTAGAGGACAACATTTGCAACACTTTGGTTTAAATGTTGGTGTGTCATTTCCAATACGGCAACAGTTGTACTCTTTGCCCATCAGGTTTAAAAGGGATGATAAAAATAAGAGGCCCAAAGGAAAGAAAATTGGTTGTTATTTGTGCAAAGGAAAAGGTCATTTTACTAATGAGTGTAGTTCTAAGAAATATCTGGGGTTTCTAAGTGATAGGATTTAGTTTAGAAACAGTTGACTATGCTGGAGGATGTTGAAGAAAATGATGGAGAGGATTCACAGCTATGCTATGGTAAATTATTGAGAAAAGGTAATTCGACAGTTTTAGTTAATATTAAAATGGTTAAAGAAAGAGATCCACTTATTTCCAAGGAACTTAGTATACTTGGCAGCCAGCTCAGATCCAAGTCTCTATTATTTTATAGGAGAAGAGAAGGTTTGGTTGGAAAAGAAGTTGAAGAGGTTAGAAGTGTTAGTGCAATAGCAAAAATTTGCACAAAAACTCTCAACCAGTAAGTCTTTTGAAGGTAAGTCTAGTGTTCTTAATTCTAAAACAAGGCTCTCTAAGGTTTCAACTTGTAATTAATTTACGAAGGCTGAATTGAGCTCTGTCCTAGAAGTCTTTCCATTTTGAGAAGCTAATTAATTTTTTGCATATAATTGAAAGAAGTTGGTGGGCAATATTATTCATTTAAAGGATAAGTACTATTACATACTTATGAACACTAAGCTACAGAGGATGTTGGGTTTAATTGTAGTGAAAATGTAGTTCTAGTACAGAATATTACCTTTTGGTTTGAGACAGGGCTTTGATTGACAAGTGGCATGCACAGGAAATATATTGTGACAACCATCTTAGATAATGTGTAGGTAGTACATATACAAGAAATGTATTATTAGAGATAAAGAAAAAGGTGATAAGGAGAGAATTAGCAGGATACAGATAGGTTTGAGCCCAAAAGAAAGGATGTTGAGACCTGATTCAGGCTATAAAATTTTGCAGAATGATAATAGACACTTTAAACAGTGTGGTAGTGGTATCAGAGGAAAAGGTAGATTTAACAATAGCTATGTTTGAAAGAGTATTGAGCGCATCTACATATTGCAAGTGCTTTGGCATCAGTTGCAAGACAAATAGTAAGTTTAAGAAGGGCCTTTCTCTCAAGCCAAATAAAGTGTATAGAGTTTTACAAGCTAATAAATTCAAAAAATCAGCTTGATTGGCAATGTTACAATGAAGTTCAGTTAACGTCACAAGCATTTAAGAATATTTGTTGGTTGGTGATAAACCAGAGAAAGTGGAATAGCTAACTGGTTTAAAAACCTTGTTATATAAGATTGGTTTAGTTGACACTTCTATAATGAGTTTGTATGGCATATTTTGGAAGCACAAGGTGTCAGAAAGTTGGTTGCAATCTTACATCTCAAATGTGATAGCACAGATGGAGGCTTTGGCTGTGCTTTGGACACTTCAGTCTTTCAAAAGTTGTTGAAGAAGACCTGGTTGACAATATTTATCAACAAGGTAGCTCTGAAAACAATGATAAATGGGGGCTTAACAAATTAGCAAAAGAATATTATCATGCAGATTTGGGAGGTTTGTATCAAGGCTTATATCAATATTTTTAGCACAAAGTAGATCCCAAGTGGGTTAAACCCAGTGGATACGTTGACAAGAATAGTGGACTAAGGAGATTGGATGTTGAGTTCAGAGGTAATAGCACAGTTAGAGCAATTTT